TATACTGATAGGATCACAGTTTTAGGCTCAACCCTCTTCACCCCCTTCCGGCAGCATTATCAACTACAAGCAAAAGTACCCGTCCCCAGTAACGGGAAAAGTTTAAATTAATCTATCAATTTAAATTATTTCATGGACTTTAAAAAAGGTTAATTGTGTTGCACTCTTGGTTTCACTCAGAGTCAAAGCTCTGAGCTACTTATACCACCCACCACGAAAAGTAATTGTTGAACATTTCAGTCATGTTAAGAGTCACTCAACAATAACATACGGTAAATCTACATTTATATTGTTTAAGTTACGTCACGTTTTGAAATGTAAATGATATTGTGATTAATTCCTAACAGTTTAGTATATAATCTCCTGCTTGCGAAATAAAATTTGGCATCAACATCATTCATGTCTGTTCTCCCGTCATTTCAAAAGTGAATGTTGAGCTTTGCCTGCGTGCGCAGCTTTTCAAACGGGAGACAGACGAACACTGGGACAGGCACCATTATAATCTCGTAAGTTTTTCATCATACCATTAACATTATTAAAGGGTCGTTATTGTTTTCCTTATTAAAATGGATAATGACGTATCTCGTATTATGTTCGTGTACATGTTAACTCCACCAAAATCGAACCAAGTACCTGAGACACACATCCATCCGTAGACTGACTCTCTGTCACATGAAATCAGGAAGTTCTGTCTGACTGGAGTTACTTTCTCGTGATATTTGCGCAGTCATTGTGGTGAAATGAATAAAAATTAAAAGTTTTTGGTATCCGAAATTTCACTACGCGGTGAAATATTTTCTCTGTGGAAATTCCTGAAATGAAGAAGGTGGCGGCCTTGAAAAGCAGGTTTCAAGGATAAGAAAAAAATTAACAATCGCAGCTTCATGATGAAAACAAAATAAAACGATAGTCAGCCAGTGTCCGTTGTCAGAATCAAACGATATTTTCTGTAGTCAGACACTAACAGAATCAAACGGTAGTTTCTGTAGTCAGACACCAACAGAATCAAACTGTAGTTTCTGTAGTCAGACACTAACAGAATCAAACTGTAGTTTCTGTAGTCAGACACTAACAGAATCAAACT